ATATGACCACCCACATTTAAATATCAACATCTATTCAAAATCCAGAAGTTGTTTACATATAGAAGTCATAAAAGGTATAGTATTAAATAGTCTGTTTAATTCTAAGGTATGAAAGAAAATTAATTCAGACACATATAAGTGGGCTTATCTAGCATATGTGACTTGTCAGATGTATATTGTAGTTAGGTAATGCAGTATTGACTAAATTGCTTCATCCCCTAAAGTCCCTCGTCTCCAGATGGACAGTGTCCCCTCACCTCTAGTCAACAACATCTGTCGTCTCCCGTGCTTATGTCACAAGACATTTCTCCAGCCACCGGCTCATGCATACAGAGCACCTCATCAGCTTTTATGAGACCTTGAAAAAAGAACGAAAACTCAACTTTTATTAATCATTCTATCAGACCAATAGAAAGCTGTCCCAATGTGATGGCTTTTGTCTACTTTAATCCATCTTTGTCAGGGCTCAACAACAAGAATGTTTTTTTGCAGGCATGGTCAGGCCAGTAATTCATAATTCATATCTCTAACCTTTTTTTTCTGGCCCTACCACAAGAAAAAAAAACAAAAAAAAACAAAAAAATTCTACACAGGAAAAAAAGGTTTTGCAACATAATTTATTAGGTTTCAATTTTTTACAATGGTTTCTTCAAAATTATGCCTTTTTGAGATAATGTCATTAAGACATCACAACAAGAACACACAACTAGACAATTCAATGTTTTAAACAATGTATAAAGGACAAATTTTATTGAAGACAAATTAAAACTATAAACTGATTACCAATTACAAATAATCCAAATGAAGGAACACCTGGAATATGTCTTAATAAATTGATGAGGTTCTTGGACAGTTTTTCAAATTCAAGCACACCATGGACAGGGCAAGATCATGTCAATAGTTTGTTTAATCCGATTTATTAAGATTAAATGTTGAGGATATCATAGGGACATGAAAATGCTGAATAATCCAGCTGTTATATCACTGTACTGTTTTTACTTTTGACGATTCCCTATGTTTATATCAGGGAAACATTTTAATAATGCAGCATATGAAGTGGCTGATATCCATAAGACTTTTACTCACACCCATACTGTGCGTCTTTAGCCACAGTCCTAGAAGCAGGTGTTTTGGGGATTTAGTCAAATAATGAAACCTGATATTCTTGTGGATATTCTCTGAACATCTGAGTCCCAGATTTGGCAGCCCTCATCTTCCAACTCTCATTTTCTCAGACACTGAGTTTTGCATCTGCATTCACAGTAACCGCCCCCATTGCAAACACACTAAGATAGCAGGTACCACAATAGTATGCTGCTGCCACAAAGCTCTTAGTAATAACTAAGAGCTTTGTGGCAGCGTACTGTAAGTCATCCCCTATTGGATGGGAGTGCATGGCCCCTTTAACCTCCTGATGAATCCCTTTCTCTCTTCTGACTTTTGATTTCACTATGAATTGGTGGTCAGGTACCACTGACATAGATACAGATTGGTTTCCAGCTCTCTTCGGGAAGCAAATTGGGACAAGAAATCCCAGGGGGTTACAGCAGAATGAAATATGAGGTTTTGAATGAGTAAGCCTGGTGTTATGATTTTATATGTTCTGTGAATGACTGCCTCATTGATATGGCTAGTGCAGCTTGATCAACTCTGGCTATTTGAGAGATAACAAACATTTGCAGAACTGTTCTGACAAGTATTTTTGGTAGGTTTTGATGATTGATTTTGGAGCACCCTATTAGGAAACTTTTGGTCTGTATCTATAGTCTAGACTGACAGGACCAGGTCAGGTGTCCCAATATAATCTGTTACAACGATTAAGACTGCTTATTCTGTAACTGTTTAAACAGCAATAAATACATATCAAACAAACATTAAAAGCCTGTCACACAGGCTTCATTTGATTCGCCCTCTTTATCAAGTACCTAACCAGGGGTGTTCAATCCTGATCTGTGAGATCTACAGACAATTTTCCTTCAGAAACCTGCTCTGACACCTGTCTGTACTTTTTTAATGAACCCTAAAACCTTGATTATCTGGTTCATGCATGTTTGATTAGAGTTCTAAACTCAGCAGGAAGCTAGATCTCCAAAAGCAGGAATGAGCTGGTGTCCCACAGAGCTCAGTTTTAGGTCCCTTTTTTTTTTTTTTTATCAATTCACTCTTCCTATTGTATTGCTGATCACACACAGGTGTACATTTTATCACACTTTGTTGTCTACATCTGTTTTCTCAGAGAACATTGCATCCTCTCTGACATACAGTATAGACCTTGAGGAGGTCACCTCATTCTCAGTCATGACAAAATTGGTATCTCCTTCCAGCCACAACGTGCCACCTGTAGAACTGTAGAAGCCACCCTAGAAGACCATTTGTGGACAACATTGCAGAAACTATCTTGTTCAAGTCATTCATCATAACATAAGCAAAATCAGACCATTTCCTGGACCCCAACTGTGCTCAGCTCCTTGTTTAAGTTCTAGTAATTTAATAACTAAAACCATATGTCCCCTCAAGAATGTAGCTGTTCAGCTTGTGTAAAACCTCTGGAAATACTGTCATGATCACCTCTGCTCAAGTGCCCTCACTAGCTGTCAGTTTCTGCCAGAATCAATCAAGATTATTGCCTGCAATGGAACTCTCAAGCTCAATTGTGTCACATCGCCAACCCCCCCCCCCCCCCCCCCCCCCCCCCCCCCCCCCCCCCCCCCTTTTTCTATTCAACTGGTTCTGTTTGCTGTTGTTATCTGGAATGTGAGTTTTGATTTACTGAATAATGAGCTATGCTGTCCCATGAAGTTAACCCCTTCACCAGCACCCCACTTTTGGCAAGTAAGGCATAAATGACATACCCAAAATAAAAAGCTTGCTACTCATAAGTCATTCTGAATAGACACATAATAACCAACATATATTTAGAAAGCGAACACTCAGAATTACTCAGACTGTTATTAATATGGAGATATATAATCTCAAACATAAAAATATTAACAATATGTATATGTATTCAGCCATTATTAGCCTTTATTCTGGCATTGCATGGCTTGCCCATCTACACCACTTTGATTCCATACATACAGTCAGAGGGTTCTGTGTCATATTTGGAGAATCTCCACATAGGAAACATAGATGAAGCTATGAATTTTACCTGCAGATGGTAGTGATGCTTTCGATCTTATGTATCTAATATAGATTATTTCCTCTCGGCATTCACAAGTTGAGTCGTGGCTAGTAATATCCATTAGCATCTGTACTAGTTTGGGGCCTTTTGAGGCTTTACATGAAGATTCTTCTTTGAAAATTATTGGCAGGATGAATGTATGAATTAATGTAGCCAACCAATCAAAATCCCATGAGAAACAGGAATCATTTATGAATATGAACATTTTATGCAACAATTAATATGTCTGTATGACACACTGGGTGTGTTTTGTGTCACAAACATGTTTTCTGAGAGCTGTAAGCATTATCCTAACAGATGGTATGACTGGCTCAGTCTCAACTGAATGTGAGTAATGGTGGGGCATCTTTACTCAGCTGCCTCATGCTCATCTCATCTGTGAAATCACTTGGGTAACACTGGCCAATTCCTTTCTTAGGCAGCTACCTTTTAAGGCAGCATCCTTACCAGTTATGTACCCTCACGAGTGACTGATTTGAAACACGATAGACAGCAACGCTTAAAAGTAATAGTTCAAATATATATATAAGCTAAAAATGTTCCTAAATGTGCCTGTTCATCTCAAGAGACATTTAAGGGGGGTGTTTCTTCAGCTAAGGGCATTTGGTTCTGTAATACATACAACCAACAGATTTTAACTTTTTTTGTTATATGAAAGTCATATTATATCTGTCTTAGAAACATGTTACTACAGCTTCTACAGGCAAACTAGTTCCAGCCTGGGTACTTCATGTTTACTTGACCATTTTTGTTGATATTTATGAAAATAATGTTGTTTGTAGTTAGTTTTAGGCATGCTGGGATGGTTAATTATCAGGGGGATAGGACGATCCACACTCTCTTGCACATACATTTTAAGAATGTATTTCTAGTTTGGTGTGTGTGTGTCTGTCTGCAGCTGTAACCTCAGTAATGAGAGTAGTCTAATGAGAGGAGACAGATCTGTACTTACGCCATTAGTTTGCTTGTCTCAATGTCCCAGCAAACATACACCCATCCCAGCTCAATGTATCCTGCATATCTATTCTCCCGATGCAACGTTAAAAGAACAAATAAGAGAAAACATACATGTGCAACGGACGTAGGTCAGTAAGAGTTGTGCATGTAAACCTTACACCCCTGGCTAGTGGCTGCGGTCTTTAGTGTCCTTGTTAGCGCGCCCACCTCCCATGCCGGTTCGAATCCCGCTTGCAGCGGGTCGAGTAGGACCGGTTACATTTGGTGCCGTGACCCGGATTGTAGTGAGGTTTATGGGGTGAGTGTAACGGACGTAGGCCAGTAAGAGCTGTGCGTATAACTCTCACTCCCCTGGCCTCAAGAGGCACGCTAGTGACTGAGGCTAGCGGCTGCGGTAAGGGCCCCCCCCAGATGTAAACTCGCAATTGTCAGAAAAAAAGTCAGAATTGTGAGATAAAAAGTCGCAATTCTGTCTTTTTTTCTCGCAATTGCGACTTTATTTCTCAGAATTGCGACTTTATATCTCGCAATTGCGACTTTATTTCTCACAATTCTGACTTCATATCTCGCAATTGTGAGATAAAAAGTCGCAATTATTTATGTTATTTTTTTATTCAGTGGCGGAAACAAGCTTCCATATACATCAGAGCATGGCCTTTTACATTATTTTTATGATTCACATTAACATATTTAAACAATCTTTTACCCTCTCAATGACAGCTCAGTTAATCCATTTCCTTATAAGCTCCTGAAGAGGCTGTATTTATAACCATATCCACTTCTTAATTAATTTACTTAATGTTCACAAGATTGAAGCATGACTAAAATAACCATTACCTTTCTCTGTCTCTTTGTGGTGCAGGACTCAGATTAATTTCACAGTGGCGATTGATTTCACAGCTTCTAACGGTGAGTGCCGTCTCCATCAGAAGGCTGTTTGAAATTATTGAAATGTATGCAGATGAGGCATGAAAAAGAGCCAGTAATAGCCATCCTCTATCATAATGATTGAGGTTTAATACGATAAGAGCTCCGATCTGTGTGATTATACAGAGAGGCCTGCCTTTTAAATTCATTTGCGGATTCAAAGGGAATACCACAAAACCATCTGAATTACAGGGCCATCCTTGGCAAATCTATTTTTAAACATCACTAGCTTTTTTTGCCTCTGGATTCATAATATCAGCCTCTCAACTTTTATATATATATATAAGAACCATTTAATAGTCAAAACATTTCATGGTTTTATTACGTTTTTGAATAAACCTTATAATTAGTTAAATAACTGTAAACATTGTTAAAAGGCATCATATTTGTACCTATACATAATTATGCTTTTAGAGAGTATTATGCATTCATTATTTGGGTTATAATTTATTATACTCTTCAATAATGTAGCTATGAATATGTATGTATTTTCATTGTGGTTAATCGTGGTTATTATATATTAAAAAAAAAAAATTTGAAAATGAATTGTTTTATACCATTATATGCTTTATATGATGTGTTTTGCCAAGCTTTCCCAGTCAAATGCTTAAGTTGCACTAAAAGTACACATTTTCTTTCACACGGTTCCCAGGCAACCCAGCCCAGCCCACTTCCCTTCATTACATGAGTCCGTATCAGCTCAACGCCTACGCCATGGCACTTAAAGCTGTGGGGGAGATCATACAGGACTATGACAGCGACAAGATGTTCCCTGCACTGGGGTTCGGAGCCAAACTGCCTCCTGATGGGAGAATATCCCATGAGTTTGCCTTGGTAAGCAACTCTTAAAACACCTATCCTGCAGCGATAGCTTTACGCACTGTAGATATGCAGGTTTGATATGCAGACACAAGTTTTTTATATCAATGTTTCTGAATGTTCTCTCACTATGTGTTGTCTGCAGACAGAGGTTTTTTACAAAGCTTTCAATTTCAGAACAGGGTTTTAGACATATACACTTGACGGATCCCTCCTTGTAAATACAAGCCTCTACTGGCAAATCCAAACCATCTCAGTTTATCTCCCGTACTTTGTTTTTACTCCATCCTAGAAACAAAACTCTCACGGAATGACACGAGTTATATGTCACACGATACCATTCGTTATTTTTGTTTTAGAGAGAGTGAACTGAAGGCTTTTGTGCAGTCAGCAAAGTTATAGAACAATTGATGAATGGTGAAACTGGGGGAAAAAAATCTGTAGACTTACATTGAAAGATGAACCTGAGGCATATCTAGAGACCAGAATATTATAGAGAATAGGAGGTAGTTTTAAAAAAGTAACCACTTAGCGAACGCCTATGACATCCTATAGCGTCCCACCAATCAAATTGCAATGCACTAAAAACCACTCAGAAGATCTCATAACAACCACATAACACCCTGGCAACAATTCAAGTGGCACTTACATTTTCTTCAAAGAATCTATTTATGTCTCTAAAATGTGGACTTTCCATTGTGAGTTATCATATCTACAGCAGATGTTGAACGAGGCCATGTCTACCCTTATTTGATTTTGCAATATTTTATTTTCTATGTTCCTAAAGAATGGAAACCCTCAGAATCCATATTGCAATGGCATTGATGGAGTCATGGAAGCGTATTACCAGAGTCTAAAGTCCGTTCAGCTCTTCGGTCCTACCAACTTCTCGCCTGTCATCAACCATGTAGCCAGGTACATTCAGAACATTTCAGAACCAAATTTTGTCTTTTTATCTATAGATTGTTGCATTACTATGGTGGTAAGAGTCCTCTACTCCTCGCTGCGACATCTTGTCTATGACGTATATTCCAATACTAAGCAATGTTATCCAATGGCCAGATGAGTTTCGATCCCTTTTCTTTCAGCAATCATCCATTAAGAATGGCCTTTAGATGACACCGTTTTCAACTAAAATCGGAAAACTTTTTATTGGCCGTTTGTTTACACGACAACTGAGTTTTGGGTGCCTATAGGCGCGTATAGTTTCTTTACAGCATTTTTAGTCGTTTTTGTGGATCCGTGTGAACGGGGATCGTTTTGAAAACGTTGTCGTCTGTACGCGAACCTTCTCAAAAACTCAAAAGAAAAACGTATCCATTTTTAGTACATCTTTGTCGTGTAAATGTACACTTAGTTTGCAACTGACACTTTCTATGATCCAATCGATTCTCAATGGACAAAATCCAGTCATGCCTTACATACTGTATGTTCTCATTCGATAAGCCATTTTACTCACAATCGAAACGAAAAGTTGGATGGTTGATCAAAATATCAGATTTGTGCCAACTTTAAGTAGGCAGGTTACCTTCAAATAATAAACATGGTGACAGTTTTTAACTGCTTTAACTTTGAACTAACTTGCTCAGCTCTAATCCTGAAAGAGACGGCTGAAGACGACTGGATTATTTTTGTATATTGACCATTACAGTAAATATTTCACCATTGTTCATGACATACTGGTTCTACTTTCATGTCTCTCATATTACTCCGCCATCTATCTTTTCATATCAGCAGAAGTTGATTGGAGCCGTCTTGAATAAAGCAACTATGACTGTGACAAAAAAAAAAAGATTTTGCACATGTTCAGAGATTGACAACAGCCAAATATTCTCAAAATGTGCATTAACCCCCAGGTGCATCATCCAAACAAAGTGTGTCACATTTACACAGAGATAATCCAATCTGAAACGGCCTCGGAGGTGTGATATATGACCTTTAAATCACTTTAAATGAGCCGTGGAGTTGCAGAGGTAAAACAACAAGATTGGATATTATGCTGTCCCAAATAAGATCATCCCTGGTCTGCATCATCAGTCAAATGATGAGAGGAAAACATTAAATGGCTATCAAAAATGTGGCACAATGACCTGAAAATTAGATCTGGAATTTGAAGTACCCAATAGGAATATAAAACATGGAGGGTTAACATTTTGTCGAATTGTATTTTGGGTTTTTCAACTTTTTGATGCCATGAACACCCAAATATGATAATCCCCTAATTCGAGACCTTTCCTAAAATATAAAGGGAGATATATTTATATTATTATGTATTAAGAATCATTTTGTGAGGATTATGCTTTGTGTTCCTGTGACCTAGTTTTCATGTCTGTTCCGTAATCAATTATGTCATTTACCTCCCTCATTTGTTTTAGTATATATACTCCCTGTGTCTTTCAGTTCTTTGTCCTATCTCGTCTATGTGTTACGTTGGTGTTTAATGAATGTGTTTTTCTCCTGCATGGACTTGGACTCTCTACATAGTTTGTTTTTTATGCTGGTTGAAAGTCTCCTCATATCCTGATCGCCATCACTACGTTAAGCGGTCTAAATGTTCTTTAATTTAGAACATTATGGCCGCTTAACATAGTGAGAATCCCTGGAGTCGCACACCAGGGATTTTTTGGAGTTCGCATGCCTAACGCACTATCCCAACCGCTCGCCGCCCCGCCCTACAGCAGATCTCCACCGCAGACACGGAGCCAGTGCCTGCCACAGAGAACGAGCCAGTAAGCCAAACTGAGCCGAGTTAATGGAGCTTGAGGACTCGGATGGAAGCCCTGCCCACACTCCCACCGCTGTGAATGTGCTGAACATGGCCACTGGGAATATACCGGACTTAATAACCGTGTCTCTCCAGACCCCGCTGGTTCCTCACCGCCCTGAATCTGAATCCCCCCCGTCCCCCCCCCCCCCCCCAGCCTCCCTCTCCCACCTCCTCAGCCTCCCTCTCCCACCTCCTCTACCAAGTCTAATCTGTTCATCAGCTCTTCCTCCTCTGGTTCTTGGCAGTCCCTCAGTTCATCCACAGTGTGCCGGATTCGCCTTGGGTCTTCCAGTCCCCAGTTTCTCCTTGGTGTGATGATCCCCCGTCTCCGCCTCCATCCACAGAGCCACCTCGGTCCTCCGACCCATTGGTTTCGACTTGGCTCAATGCTCCCTCAGATCCATCATGGTCCGTAATTCCCCCAGCTCCACCAGGTACCCTCGTCCCACCGTCTCCGCCCTGGTCAGACGTAACCCTGGCTCTACCGTGGAATTCTGGTCTGCTGGTTACACGTCTCCCCTCCATCCCTTCGGCTCCACAGGGCTCCACCTTCTCTCCGGCTCCACCGCGGACCTCCGTCGCACTGGCTCCACTGCGGTCTTCCAGATCCCCGCCTCCTCCTCGGCCCCATGAGCCCCGTCAGCCCCCTGGACCTGCAGTGTCACCCTGGCTCGGTGTCTCCTCGGCTCCGTCTGCGTCTCCACCGTGGCCGGCTGCGTCACAGTTAATAAAGGCGCAAACACCAGTACATTGACGAGCGCAAACCTTAGTAAATCACTTTGCGTGATTTATTTAAATACTCTCCTCCCATAAATTTTGCGCCTGAAAGGGAAACTCCTACAAATGCATGTGCAATAAGGTCAGCCGCAAAAATAACTGTGTCCATTCTTTTTCAGCGCAATTGTTTCACTGCGCGTTTTTAGTAAATCCTGGCAGTAGCTTTTTAACGCCAAAAGAGGGTTTGCCCTGGCGCAAGCTGTTAGTAAATCTGGCCCTTTGATTTGGATTTCTCCTTTGTTGTGCGCTCCTTACAATCACGTTGCGTAAGTGAAAAAACAACAACATTATAATATAAAAACAACACGCTGTTTTCAAAATGAAATAATCAGTTTTTATACTGGCATTGTTATAAAACCAAGATAAATTATGAAAATATTATGTGGTCAATTTTTACTTTGTATTGAGTTGAATAAAGTATGTATAAAACTCAATATAAAATAATCACAATTATCCCCATGATTTCTGAATGGGTTTTAAAAAGCTGAATGACAGTAATATTTAGCTTTTTTTTTCTTAACTGAAAATTGTACAATATATATACACTCACCGGCCACTTTATTAGGTACCCCATGCTAGTAACGGGTTGGACCCCCTTTTGCCTTCAGAACTGCCTCAATTCTTCGTGGCATAGATTCAACAAGGTGCTGGAAGCATTCCTCAGGGAGTTTGGTCCATATTGACATGATGGCATCACACAGTTGCCGCAGATTTGTCGGCTGCACATCCATGATGCGAATCTCCCGTTCCACCACATCCCAAAGATGCTCTATTGGGTTGAGATCTGGTGACTGTGGAGGCCATTTTAGTACAGTGAACTCATTGTCATGTTCAAGAAACCAATTTGAAATGATTAGAGCTTTGTGACATGGTGGAAGTAGCCATCAGAGGATGGGTACATGGTGGCCATAAAGGGATGGACATGGTCAGAAACAATGCTCAGGTAGGCCGTGGCATTTAAACGATGCCCAATTGGCACTAAGGGGCCTAAAGTGTGCCAGGAAAACACCCCCCACACCATTACACCACCACCACCAGCCTGCACAGTGGTAACAAGGCATGATGGTTCCATGTTCTCATTCTGTTTACGCCAAATTCTGACTCTAACATCTGAATGTCTCAACAGAAATCGAGACTCATCAGACCAGGCAACATTTTTCCAGTCTTCAACTGTTCAATTTTGGTGAGCTCTTGCAAATTGTAGCCTCTTTTTCCTATTTGTAGTGGAGATGAGTGGTACCCGGTGGAGTCTTCTGCTGTTGTAGCCCATCCGCCTCAAGGTTGTGCGTGTTGTGGCTTCACAAATGCTTTGCTGCATACCTCGGTTGTAACGAGTGGTTATTTCAGTCACTGTTGCCCTTCTATCAGCTCGAACCAGTCTGGCCATTCTCCTCTGACCTCTGGCATCAACAAGGCATTTCCGCCCACAGAACTGCCGCTCACTGGATGTTTTTTCTTTTTCGGACCATTCTCTGTAAACCCTAGAGATGGTTGTGCGTGAAAATCCCAGTAGATTAGCAGTTTCTGAAATACTCAGACCAGCCCTTCTGGCACCAACAATCATGCCACGTTCAAAGTCACTCAAATCACCTTTCTTCCCCATACTGATGCTCGGTTTGAACTGCAGGAGATTGTCTTGACCATGCCTACATGCCTAAATGCACTGAGTTGCCGCCATGTGATTGGCTGCTTAGAAATTAAGTGTTAACGAGCAGTTGGACAGGTGTACCTAATAAAGTGGCCGGTGAGTGTATATATATATATATATATATATATATGAAAATATAGGTCATTGTAACTAACGGAGGTGTATTCATAAAGGTGTACCGGTATTCAGAAATCAATAAATGTGCACTGTCCAAATGCTGAACCGAGAAGTAGAATAAAAATAAGAATTTTAGAAATATTATTGTGAAATCTCCATGTCCTTTTAAAAATGAGTTGTTATGGGCAGAATTTGACCAGTTCATGTTATCATGTTCCTAAAATCCAAGCTCTATGTCTATGTCCAAAGACGCTTTACTTAGTATTTCACACTGTTAGAGGTCAGAATCAAATGTCTAAAGGATGTTGTTAACAGCTTGTGGGGCTGCGAGAACCCGATCCTCCACATCTCTATCAGCAGCAATAAAAGACTGGATTCATTATGCATCAATTGCAGCGCAAAGTGTCTAAGCTCATGTCAGCATCCATATAATAACAAGGCCTGCTACAGTGTACAATAAATTGAGAGAGCAAGGCATTCTCTTTCTAGCTCTTTCCTCAGAGAATCAACACTTTGTCGTCAAGAGAATGTCATTATCTGGCTCTTTTATTTTGTTTGGTATGGAAATGCAAATTGTTGAGGCACAATTTCCCCCACTATATCATTTTAGTAATTTTGGATCAATCGCTTTTTTGAAAATCTGACTCAAAAGAGCATTTCGTTAACAAATCGGACATCTCTAGAATGAATGTCAAGATATTCGGTGAATATCAATATAGATATCAAGCAGTAATGGAAATACTAATTATGGAATTAATAACTAATGAGTAAGTAAGGTATGACAGAATTTTCATTCCTTTAAGAAATGCTTGGCTGCAAAATATTAGTTATTACAGAGATCACAGTGAAATGTTCAGGTTCAGGTATCATAAAAAGTGTGGTTCCAGCACAAACAGAAAGTTTTTTTTTAGGGGTGAACTACTTTTCTATGTATTTAATTTACTCTGTTAATTTCATTTGTTTACTGAAAACATCTCCCAACAAACCGAAGTCATGGTAATGGTGAAAAAATTAAGTAATTAGTGTTAAAACTGCTTAAAAAGTGAACAATCGCTGTGCGGCCAAAATTATTATTTCTGAATCATTTCTGAAACGAATTAATTTATGCATCTGGGTAGCTGTGTGCATGTTACCTGGTATGTCCCTGTGAGACGGTCATACTCGAGACACTTTAATACAGGTGTTATGATATAAATAAATTGGTTCTTATTTATTGCAGCATTTTGCGGTTGTTTTTACACTTGAACATGTTTCTAAAACTCATTATGTTTTGTTATTGCACTTCGGACCTCTATGCTCACAAATCCCATGTTAAATCCACACTAATTAATGATTTAAAGGGAGCAAACAGTCAGTGGACTGACACGTCCTCACACTGTGTTTCTAATTATATGTCCATTCCATGGATTTGCTGAGGATGTGAAGTAAAGGACAGTCCATCAAGTCATTATCACCCGTGTGTTCCAAACACACATAGTCACTGCGGGGTCCACTCATCTGTGCTGAAGACAGATCTGTCACACTGCACCGCTCTAATCTCTCTGTGTGTATTTGCCGTAGGTCGCGCCCACGCAGTTTAATAATAAACTGCTTTTAAATTGTTCTTTTAAAGCTATTGCGCTGCTTGCCTGGGTATTCCACTGTGCTCATTTTTGTTACTGGAGAAATTGAAAAATAGTTGCAAAATCTTACACTTATTAAGGCTGGTTCAAACTGTGGCAACAAATGCCAACAATTCAACATTTTGATGTTGTGTTCAGAGTATTGGGAGACATAACCAGTGTTGGGGGTTTACGCATTTACAAGTAACACAAGTTACGTAATCAGATTACTTGTTTAATCTTTTAATTCTTTGTTTTCCCATTTATTGACTGACACCTCTCTTGTCTCCATGTTGAGAGAATCGTGAGTAAGTGCAGAGGTGTTGTGTGCGCTGTGTGAACTTGAAGCTTATTGTAGTTCTAGACTAAATGTGAACAGGCATTTACTCTTCGCACTTGCACAAAAACATTCGGTGTTCCTCAAAATGGGGAAAATACTATGAAAAGCGAACTCAGATTATTAAGCAAACCTGCAGTAATCAAATGTCAAATAATACAAATACACTTTATGTATTTAATCTCACTTTATTAACCAATGTCTTTGCTGCTGACCTTCTATGATCCAATTCAACCATAATAATAAGTGACTTCAGTTAAATATCACATTTGTGTTTCAGTTTTATTATTACTGCTGACTTCAGAGTGAAAGGGCCTTTACGTTTGCCAAAAATAGAGCTTTTTTTGTTGTTGTCATTGAAAAATCAAACAAGCAAGCAAGCCCAGCCAAGATAAGAAAAAGTAACACAAAAGTAACATAACACATTACTTTCCATAAAAAGTAACTAAGTATTGCAATTAGTTACTTTGTAGGGAGTAACTTTATTGTAACGCATTACTTTCATAACTGTAATCTTCACACTGTGCCAAGTTAATGCATTAGGTATCATGAACTAACACTGAACAACAAGCATGTATTAATGTTAATGATAAAGACACAGTTGTTCACTGTAAATCAATAGTTTATAATAGATTAACTAATATTTCTCGTTTTATTCCGATTATGTCAATGTTTCCGTTCCATCACATTCCAAGACTGACAATTGCCGACCCAACAACTGGTGGTTGTTGCCGTTTTGTTTGTGCAGCGTGAACATTTAGTATCCATAGTAGCTGGAAGTTCTAAGTATGCATACTAATATCATAATATTCTAATAATCACATTTCACAAGGGTTTAAAATGTAAACTCAAAAATTTGAGTTTTCTAAGATTAAAAAACATAATTCAGCTCGTAGTTTCCAGTCATGTGTGTGTTTCATGAAATGCCAGTGAATTTTTTAAATCGCCACACATTTTCAGTGACAGGTGAAGAAATGTTTTAAGCATTTCTGCGTGCATCATATTCGAAATCCTCAATGGGACATTACGTTTTTTCAAAGCTTTAATCCAACCGAAGCCGATCTGAGAAAAGCAGGGGCTGGTAAACATTTGCCAAGACCATTTCATCCTTTCTCCTCACACTGAAAGTCTGTAGTAGAGAGTTGAAGGATGCTAGTAAAGGGAGTGAGCTGATAAACCCTGATAAAACCTTTTTATTAAACGTGTTTGTAAATGTATGTAACGTGTATACAGTCGGACTGCCAAAGTCATAAAAAAAAAAAAAAAAGATTAGTTAGTTAAAAGGTTTGTTACAACCACAGACAAATGAACTGCGTAGAATATATTTGCTTGTGTGTCGTTTTTATTGCTTCTGAGCACATTATTTACCTCATAAGCTGATGGAAATAATTGGGATGCCAGACTGCAATGTAGTAATACGGCGAAATAATATTACAATCCAGAGGCTTTGGCTGCATATCCCCCCAGTAATGAGATGTTTAATGAATGTAAAAATGTGCTCTTTCGTGCAGATACGCTGCCTCAGTAAAGGACGGATCCCAGTACTTCATCCTGCTCATCATCACGGATGGAGTGATATCAGATATGGCCCAGACAAAAGAGTCCATTGTTAATGTGGGTATTCGGTCTACTACACAAGTCTTTAGCTCTTGATCAACTTAGAAATCCCACTCTTAAAATAAATGTTCTGCAGTGGGTTTTCTTTTTTACTATATTGATTGAACTTAAAAAGGATTTGAAGATTGTATTTGGACCATGAATATTTATTTTGATGAAGTTAAAAATGAAGAACAAATGCACGTATTTGTGCTGTTTTAAATAAGTTTATTCTAAAAATAAATAAATATATTTACATTTTAATATTAAAATATTAAAATAATTAAAAAAGACATTAGTCATGGTAAATTCTTATTTTATCTGCTTTTCTTTTGCTTCTTCTTCTTCTTCATTCCAGGCTGCATGTCTTCCCATGTCAATTATTATTGTTGGAGTTGGACCAGCCGAGTTTGACGGTAAGAAGATTAGATTTAATTTTGCTTATATTTTCTGGTCACACTTTAGATTACGGTCCAATTCTCATTATTAAAGGGATAGTTCACTTTGAAATAAATTTTGTATATGTTTTAGCTTACCTCAAGGGCATCCAAAATGTAGGTGTCTTTGTTTCCGTAGTAGTTTCAATTTTGATATTTTTAGGTCAAACCGTTCTTGTCTGTCAGTCATATAATGCAGGTCTATGGTCACCACCTCAAAGAGCATGCACAGAGAAGTCCAAATTAAACATGATTTAATGACTCGTAAATGTAAGTACACATTGATGGCCTAAGACACGAAACGAGCGGTTTGTATGAGAAAACGAACAGTATTTATATTGTTTTTACCTCTTGTAAACACAGCCACGTCCAAGTGATCTGAGGGCGCGGGCGCTTCGGTCTGTGCGTTACTAGAGGTAAAAACGATATAAATACTGTTCGTTTTCTCACACAAACCGCTCGTTTCGTGTCTCAGGCCATCAATGTGTACTTACATTTACGAGTCATTAAATCATGTTTAATTTGGACTTCTCTGTGCATGCTCTTTGAGGTGGTGACCATAGACCTGCATTATATGACTGACAGACAAGAACGGTTTGACCTAAAAATATCAAAATTTAAACTACTGTGGAAACAAAGACACCTACATCTTGGATGCCCTTGAGGTAAGCTAAAACATATCAAAAATGTATTTCAAAGTGAACTATCCCTTTAACTAACTATTAACTATGACTTTTGCCTTGTTTAATAGTTAATAAGGTAGTTGTTAAGTTTAGGTATTGGTAGGATTAAGGGATGTAGAATATGGTTATGCAGAATAAGGCATTAATATGTGCTTTATAACTACTGATAAACAGCCAATATCCTAGTAATCAATCATATCAAGCAACTAGTTAATAGTGAGAATTGGACCCTAAACTAAAGTGTTACCTATTTTCTTTGTATCCTCATTTTTTTATTCAGCTCATTGTATCTATACAACACATCCCCTTCCCCTCTAGATGTGCTGTGTGCTTTATAGTGATGCTCAGGTCTTGAGCTTGAGTGGATAAAAGGATTGTGTACTACTGCAGAGTAAAGGAGCACGTAATGTGACAGCCGTTTCCCTCGTTGCGTGCGCTGACAGTAATGCAGATGGGTTTAGTAATAATGAAACAAGACTAACATACTCAAAACACACAACAATCACGGGGCACTCAAACACACAGCTAACTCACGTTTCCACATCTCCGGTCATGCGTGTTTCTTATCTGTTGTCTGTGTCCTCAGCCATGATCGAGTTGGATGGTGATGAAGTCAGAATCTCATCGAGGGGCAGATATGCTGAGAGAGACATCGTACAGGTATCGTATAAGTATTTCAAGCATTAAACCATCATCATTAATAAAGGGACATTACAAAAAAACTACAATTTTCTGTTTATTTATTATATTACTTAATGTGTAAGTTCACAGATTTTCCACCCCCCTCTTATGTCGGTAGATGTAAATTAATTACGTTTACTCGTTGTCCGTGTCTCTTTCTTCATTTTGTTTGTCAGCTCCAGGGCTTTAGTAAAAATGACACATTGTACTTCCGCAATTTTGTATTCTCGCGCATGGACCGTCAGATCAACAGAGGGTTATTAATAAAACAGCTATTGAGAAAAGTAGGTTTATCACTGAAAATTGTATTGCACTTTGTCTACTCTTGGAACAATGCAACATCCATCTATTTACTCAGATTATTATAATAAGCACAGAACTTTAATGTGTGGATGCTAATATAATTATCGGTTACCCTTTATTTTGTGACGTAGAGACATTGTGCTTACTCAAATAGGTACTAAGTACTATTAATTAACTACATGTACTTATTATAGAGTTACTGTTAGGGTTTGGTTTAGAGTTAGTTACTTGTAATTATGCAAAATGTACGTGATTACTATAGTAAGTACATGTAGTAACAGAACTTTATTGTGTGGATGCTAACAATTATCGGTAACACTTTATTTTAAGGTGACGTAGATACATCATACTGAGTAATATTAATTAACTATATGTACTTACTGTAGAGTTAGGGTTAGGTTTAGGGTTAGTTACTTATAATTACTCATAATTTACTGTTATTACTATAGTAAGTATACTGTATGTAGTAACAGAAATTTATTGTGTGGATGCTAATATAATTATCGGTAACAGGGTAGGGTTCGGTTTAGTTACTTGTAAGTATGCATAATGTACTGTTAAGTACATGTAGTAATGTGTAACTACGCCACCTTAAAATAAAGTGTTACCTTTATATTTATTGTTTTTGGTGTGAAAGAGCCTTTCAAATCCTGGTCCTGGGGCCCCACCGCTTTGCATATTTAATGTTAAAATGCTAATGCTCAAATTTGTCTTTTACATGGTGGATAACATATGTTGTGAATTTCTAGGTTTTAAAACCATGCAAATTATGTTCATTATACCCATTACCATCATACATGAAACACACATACATTAGCCATTCTGTGTTCTTCTGACTGAACTCCGTTGGCTTTTTACAATTAAGAACAGAGCTCTCTCAGTCTCTCTCAAAATCGTATTTCTTAATGCTTTCTGTGCTCGTCCCTCTCATCTTATAGCCGAGGCAGTCATCATTATGTTCCTGGGTCGCTCCATGCTTGTTAGGAATATGTTAACAGGCAGTGTGCATGATCGACTATCATAGGTGGCTAGGGAGGCTTGTCCAATTAGATGCGCCCTCACATACACACACATTCCAGTGGATCTGGCTTCCCGGCGGCCAACACATACTTAAAAGCCCATTTTTTCTTAACTAATCGGCTGTGTAGTGCTCTCAGAAACAGCCGTATCTCTTAGGATAATTTGGCTCTCAGTCTCAGAGGCGTTTTGAGTTGATTGGCATGCTGAGCATTTGATGGCTGTGCCCTCATTTCAGGTTAATCGCTCTTTTCAGCTTTGCAAATTCTCACAGAAATGCAGATGAATGCGAGATCTGCTTCAGATTATGTTCACCTGATGAAAGTCAACATAAAGAGTGTGTTTATACCATAAAATCTACTCTACGTGGAAATGTATTTTGAAACATTCCCCGAATTTGGTCGGTTTCCCCATTATTTTTGCCATTATATCATGCATGTTGGTTTACTGCTAACAGACATGTTGAATTATACAATATGTTAGCGTGCTGACGTGCGACGTATCATATGTACGCTTTTCGACATGGGTGTTGAATTATGTTAATGTGTTATGTGACTTTGTTTTGTTTTAAATAGCATTAGCTAACCTACTATATTGTTGAATTAAGAATGGTAACATATTATATTGGAACCAACTCTTTAGCAATAATTCTAAATTCTTCGAAATCGCAGTCTGTGAACATCAGATATCGATTTTAATGTCATTTGTTTTGCTTTTGCAGTTTGTTCCATTCAGAGACTACATCGATCGCACTGGGAATCACATCCTCAGCATGGCCCGTCTGGCCAAAGACGTTCTTGCTGAGATCCCGGACCAGTTCCTATCCTATATGAAGACCAGAGGCATCAAGCCATCTCCCGCTCCCCCTCCGTACACACCGCCAGGACACCCGCTGCAAACTCAGATCTGAAATGGGCCCAGGAGCGAGCCTTGCAGTATCTCAGCATCTATCTCTCAAATCACTCAGTGAGGTGAAAGTTTCCTCAGCTTTTTCTGTCCCTTTCTCTTTGCACTATGGGGGCTGTAGATGGACACCATGCTTCGACAGGGTTCTGAGGACAGGTTTACTTCCATTACAGGCATTCTCTGTCAGGATGTCTCTCAGTTTCTCTCTCTGTCTCTCAATGCCTGGCTAGCTTGTTTTCTGAGAGCCATGTTATAGAATGAACTTCACGTTTCTGGCTCACCGTGAAAAGAAGGATGAAGGTGTATGACGGAATGACTAAAGAAACGAGCTGACGATGTTGCGCCACGTCTCAGAACAGCAGAGCAGCTTCCTCTTCCTCAGACTGGGGAAAAGGCTAACAAATCACCAGTCTCAAATGGACTGTTGTACATAAATTTGACTTATTCCGTCATTTCTTATCTCTTCCTCTTCTTTCTTCTCTGAGCTCTCACTCAATGTTTACATGTTAATGATTTTCTTACTGTTGGATCTGACTTTTATAAGTGTATATCTTCAACATGATCCTCGCAGCATGTTATCTTTGCCAAGCCCGTCAGGTCGCAGCGGCTGTTGTCGTCGCGGAAAACCACATTTCTCGCATGGAAATGGTGTGCTCAGGCATGCGATGCATGTCGTGCAACGTTCATGTAATTTGGCCTTTTCTTGTTCTCTCTCTTTCGCACTCTTCTTCTTCTCTTTTTTTTTTTTTTTTTTTTTTTTTTACGGGCACCTCATTGTGCATAAAGAACCTCATAGCAACGTGCTTCATAACATTTATATCTGAGCAGCTGCTCTCAAATAAGAGCCCAGTGGTCAAAAACACAGATGCCATTATTATTTTCTGTCTTAAAACTTTGTATGGATGTTTTGTCATTTTTTGGTTGATTTGGTGATGCTGTGTAATGTTTTTTCCAATAACATGTAGATTCATTCATCATATTTAATAAGTACCTAGTAGATTTGCCCAAAGATAGCATCAAAAAAAGCACAAAGCGAATTACGAAATCCTTCTTGGATTTCATTGTGAATATTAAAGTGTTGAAACCTGATGCAGAATTATACACCTAATTTACAAAAGTCTTTTCTAGAAATATTTGTGATCCCATTATTTTAGAAACGTGCTGCTAGTATCAGGAAAATAATTATTTCCAAAAACAACTTTTGACATTAACATTTAGCAGAGTTCCTTTTTTTTTCTTGATTATTACCATTGCAAAATACTAAAACGACATTTTTTTTTGTTTTGTTCTAAAACGTTCACATATACCGTAGTAAATGTGAATCTTCTAGTATGTAGCAACTCATTTTTTCATCACACACTAGTGAACTATTTTGGGTGACAGCCTCATGTTGAGGGGGAACATTCCCTGTTTAACTTCTGTTCTGGAATTCAGGATTTTTTCCCCCAGTTGTGCTGCTTTGTCACACGCAATATTAAAATATTACACATAAAGTTGCTGCAAAAAGTATTTTAAAACACTAGTGCCAAACATACTGAGCAAATGTATGATGATGTATGTTATTACAAAAAATAACATTTGCCAAAGAAATGTATTTTAGGTTTGAAATTATGAAACAAAAGTCACAAAATAAAACCAAAAAGTATGTCAATTACTGACTGAATATAATCGTAACAAATCACCGTAAACATAATTGCGAAATTGGCTGAAAAAAGTGAAGCTAGTTTGGTGTTCCAATCATTTTATGATATTATTATAAAAATACTTTGTAGACTGCTTTTCCTTCGCTATCAACTCAACTCACTCATAAAGAAAGTGGGCTCAATTTATATTTGTCTACAAACCTACTTTCCATCATGTAAGTGTAATGCTTCAAATCAAAAGATTTAAGATCGTTGAGGAACAAATTCGTCTTGACTTTAGCATGCATGAGTGACAGTTGAAGAATGATGTGTGTGTGAAAAAGCAGCACTTCAACCTTGGGATTTAGTTGACGATCATATCTCTCTTCTGGGAATGTTGGCTCTCAACATTCCTTTACTTGCCCTCAGTTTAGTTCCTCTCTGCATTGCTGGTTCCACGGCAGCTGCCACTTTGGCAAGCCCATTCACCTGTAAGTATGCACGTATGCACCTGTGTGTGTGTGTGTGTGTGTGTGTGTGTGTGTGTGTGTGTGTGTGTGTGTGTGTGTGTGTGTGTGTGTGTGTGTGTGTGTGTGTGTGTGTGTGAGAGAGAGCGTGTGGATGTCAGTTTGGCAAGCATCATCGAAGTGTTTTTAAATGTGTGACTCGACTCACATGAAATTTGTTTACTGAAGATATCCAAATATTATATTGTATGCTATTCATATCTTAATATTGCGTGCACTATGTTTGCATGTACAGTTTTACAAGAGATTCACCAGGTCTTTTGTTATTGTTAGTGTTTTGAGTAAAAAAATAAAAATAAAAAAACAGGAAAATAACTGTACAAATGGCCTTAATCTCATACTGAATTCTTGGAATTGTGTGACGCCTTCAGATGAATTGTTATATATTTTGTGTCAGTGTACAATTGCTTTCTAGTGTATATTTTCTTTGCACAACTCATGTATGAAAAAAAAGTTATATTGTAATTTTTGGAATCGGTGATTAATCAGAGAAAGCATGATTGAAGTTCTGATTGTCTAGTAAGTCCATATGATGAAATTATTATTTCTGTATCAAGTACTAATTTTGGAATAAACATTCTTAATATATACACATTGCTTTATGAGTCTGAAATGGCATTTTCTGATTATTTTGGTTGTAAGATGAATCCTGACTAAGTGCAGGTGAGGTCACATTTCTGTAAAATTTCGCTGGCAAAAAAAGGTCCATTGTCTATTGTCGAACAGTGTAGAGATAAAAAAAAAAAAAAAATACAAATTTCTCCATCGCATGGATTGCGTTTAAAATGACTGGATTACCAAAAAAACGGTAAATGTGACCACACCTAAAGGAAGTGAATTGGGATTGGCACCTAGCCTGTGAAAACCCAGACAACTTCCGGCAAATTTAGATTTGCTCTGAAAGTTAGTCTGGCAAAGAGCTCATTCAAGCCCATTTCCAATCCGTTGAAATCGAGGCACCAATCAGAAACGTTGGGGCGGGCTTTACACGATGACCACAGCGCTGGGATTTTGAAGCAGATTTTGTAGCCTACATTACAAAGATGGATGCCGCCATCCAACATCACTCGTTCGAATCAGCTATCGCGTCCGTTTTAAGCGATTTGAACGTTTCCTTTTTGTTAAAAACCGAGCAAAGAACAACAATCAGAGATGTTTCTCCGCTCTGCATACGTCATCTCCTTCATCGCTCTGATTGGGTTTAGGTCTATCCGCGACGTCCGTTGGTGACGCCCCTCTGGAAATGATTTGTCTATGACGCTTTGCCAGACCATAACTCAGTTTCAACTGAGAATGGTCTGGTTTTAACCAGGCTAATTGGCACCTACAATCCCAGACAGCAACATAGTGTCGGCCCAAATCCAAATTCAGATCTGGGCCGACACTATGTTGCTGTCTGGGATGGTTCTCAACCCTGTTCCTATACATTTTAGATACAGGACCAGGACCAGGGTTAAGAATCACTGACCTACTGTATTTGGTACTGCACTGTTAGCTTAGGAACATGCTAACATTAAACTGGAATCAGTTCTAAGTCAAGTCTCCTGTGCCCTCAATGTGAGGAGTGCTATTTGTGTAGCATGTAGAGTTTATGCCCTTGGGAAGCGTTTAAATTTAGAACAGAGTTCCAATATTGTTCCTATATTCCCTATTCTTTCTCTGACTAGAGAGCCATTAGGAATAATAACTGTTTTCCATATTGGTGTGACACTGTAATTGCAGAAGGAGCACATTATCTGGCTGGTAAACTCCAATTATATCAGATGAGGACCTGTAGAAGATACAGGGTCACCTTCTAAACGGGGTTTAAAAACAAAAAAAATATTATTTCGGTTCAGTATTTTAACGTTTCATGCTGTAACATACCGTTCCGGAAATGGTTTGATTTGAAGAAAGAAAAAAAAAGACAGTTAATAATATCATAACTTCATCCTAAAAATGGCATGCGACTAAACATCATAACTCCAGTGGATAGATCCTCAAACTGAAAAGAAACCTCATAGCTCCACCAGCCCCGTGAATGAAGAGCTGCACGCACTTTGGAAGGTCTCCGCTTATTTGCAGTGCAAGGGTAAATAAAGAACTGGTTCTTTGAATAAGCACAGCGTTTTCTTTACTCAAAAAACACGATGTTTGTAAAAGCTCATGTTTATTTGAGGAGAATATGAAGTCTGATATTTGCCGTAGTCACAGCCAATACAGCCCGTGCAGCACTTCATCTTTTATAACCAGCCTGTTCTCACGTAAATGCGTCTCTATAGCACGCATTGTGTATTATCGTGCAATTTATACGCGAAAATGAGTTTTTACGTGCATATGATACGCAGTTTTCGCGTGCATTTGATAGGCTACGCAGTTCATTTGCGTGTAATACACACGCACCCCACACCACTAATTCTACCCAAACGTACACGCACCCCACACCACAAACCTACCCTAACCAACCCATGCGTATCCTACGCACGTAAAAAGTCATTTTCGCGTATAAATTACACGATAAACACACTGCGTGCTAGACGAATTTAGTGTGATCGGGTTGTTTATAACACAAGGGGATGAAACGACAGGAAAAACTGAGTGCTCACATCGCTACAATAACGTGTAGGTTGATAAAAACATAATGCGATATGTCTCACATCCGACCTTTCTAATGCTCAGAACGATTTAACTTGATTTTGTTTTTATGTTCCTGTTAAAATGTAGGCTAGTTAATTTCCAATTTTTTTATTTTTATTCCTTGAACTGGTCCCTGCTTCTAAATTCATACTTGGAATAATTAACCTAACGTGGATGGTTTAGTGTGCAACTGATGTTTGATTTGCACCGACACATCTACCTTTCTATCTAATACCCTCGCACACAGATATTTACAGCTTGCACTTAATGTAGGTGTAAAGTGTGAGCCAGCCATCGTCGCATTATTTCACATGACACCCGGGTAACGCAGTGGCCTTTAAGTCTATTTCTATTCTCTGACAGAACAGCCAATTAGTTTCATCTTACTTGCTTGTACAGTGTGGGCAGCTTTCCAGTATCGCCTATACAGATTTAATTGGCTTTAGAACTGTCACTGGCAAGCAAATGAACTTTTAATGTTTGGAAAAGAATAATGGTCTTTTAACTACTTGCAAAAACAAAACATCTTTTTATAGATTGGTTGCACTTAGCGTCTGCCGAAAGAGCTACACTTTCTCTGGATCAACAAGGAAAGACCTTGCTGGTGAACATTAGCAGTGTACGAATTATATACTGACTTTCTAGGCAAGTCAAAGAAATATTTTCATTCATTTTCAACCAATATTATGTTTTTTTTTTTTTTATGAAATACTTACATACATCTACACCAAATAGCATGCTACGTTTGATGCTCTAGATAAAACTATATAAAAAATTGGGATACTGAAAACTTTTTA